TGTCTGTCTGTATGTCAAAAACTGATTTAATTGGGCAATACTTCTCTTAGCTCCCATATACCTAATTGAATGATTCTCGAGCTTTGATATATAACGGTAGCCGGCTTTGATTCTTGCAAGTTGGAAGAGTATAAAATGTTCAGTTACACCCGCGCTTAGCCCTCTCTTACTTGTTATTAATTATATTTTCTCACTTAATATCCAACCCTTTTTTTGCATACTCACTTGGTAGTCAACTGTATTGACATTAAATAAACAAATATTCTAACAGTGACATTTTTCTTACATGGTCACCTTTCTAAATTAAGATAATGGAATCTACAAATATTAATACATTCACATGTAATTCGTAAATTAAGTGAACGGTACAATTGAAATGGCGCTTACGATAGCCTACATCTGCACTTAAAATACTAACCCATATGAATGCAACCGCGACCAAAGTACTGAGAGCAAATACTTAAATTTTATATTAGGCCATAGGGTGGACGATTATATGCCAAGAAACACCGGTATAGTCGACAGAAGCTTACAGGGTGCAGATGCCTTAATTTCCTCTGAGCTTGACTTACGCAACAAGGTCTACATGTTTCTTTTCAAGGTGCCTACCAACTCTCAGCAATAGCTGCTGGGATATTTTCGCGAACTTAAGACACACACAATCTAAGATGATTTCCGTGAATTATCTATAAAGTTGTTTGCGTTTCATATATTACACATTTTATCCTACTTATCCAGACTTATTCAGACTTGATTCCAACATAAAAATATATGCTCTGCTCCTTTCTTCATGTGCTCTCCTTATGATCTCACCCGACAAATCAGCCCTAATTTGTTACTGCTAATAATTAATTGAGTGGCCACAACAACCAGCAAAAACTTTCAAAGAAAAGTCGGTTTCAGCCGATCTCCGCACTACCTTATTATCAAACAAGGTTTTAATTACAATTACCAGCAATCGATTGCAAAGTTTCTACATTCATTGTTTAATGATGCCAGTTTATACTTATAGAATATCGAGTTCCTTGGTAATACAAAATTAATACGAAGTACTTAGCCTACCCAGCTGATGGGCGCTATATCGTCAAAGAAACTATAGTGTAGTACATTCTCGGACGACTGACGATAACTGACGCGGACTCTTACTTTTGGGTTGATCGCTTGTGGTAGCGGCTGTTTTCGCGGAATTTTATAAAGAAAATGGAAAAGATCAATATCTAACAGTGATTTGATTCTAGCTTGTAGAAGGAAAATCCCGAAAATTGAATTCACAGAGCGCGACTGTCAAAAATTGGTTTAACAGGTTTCAATTTTTCGATTTTTGATGTGAAATTGATGATGATTGCGACTAAGGCAAAGTTAATTGAAACAAGATAATACTGATAATTCTAAAAAAGATAATACTGTCTTATACCCGGAAAAGTGATGTTCACCGCTCTCTGGGAGCTTTGATCTGCATCGACTACCTAAAGGTAGCCACCCTGATAACACCCCAGATTACTATTTTACTGTCCCCATGACCTAAAGGATCGAATTTAGCTGCAAGTTGCTGGTCCATGTCATTACCAAGAACTTTGCATACTCCCAAAAATTGCATAGTATTCAAAGAGGTAGAGCTATGAGCTATCGACAATGAGCATCGTAACATATCCCTCCCCATGTCTTTGTCAACTTCTGGCTTCAGTAAAAATAAATGTATCAATAAATCGTATGAATAGCTCTTAGACATATTTCCTCGTCTTTCAATTTTGTTAGTCAGTGGTCGATAATTGGCAAAGGGTTCTCGGGCGCTCATTAATCTTCAAATACGTTCTCAATACTGTGTTTTTTGAACTAGTGCTCTCTGTAGTTCGAAAACCGCTCGGCTAATATATACAGCTTTTCGAAAACATGAAAAACTTGAGCCTGATCGAAGAGCTTTTTTTTAATTTAAAATTTGTATAAACAATTAACTGTTAGTTTTTAGTATTCTATTTTACTTGTTTGTTGAATTGAACGGGAGGAGACACCTGTACGCTAATACAATGACGACGGAACAAATTTATAGACTTCCATGGCTGGGAAGAGCGGCTTTGGCAACTAATTTCAATACAACAATACAAATTTTTTCAGTTGCTATACGGACGGTATTGTGAGGATTCAATTATTGGCAGAAATATGTGACAATGGCAATTAAACCAAAAAAATTGCGAATTGGCAATTAATTAGTAAACTAATATTGAATTAGGAAGGAACAGTAGCGAAGCTAGAAAGTTTTTACCAAAAGAGAGTACATTTTAACACATGTTTAACCCGAGATAGTTTTAAAAGAAAATACGTATATATATGTATATAAGCAATTTTTATTTATTAAGAGTAATAAATAACCGCTCCGTAAAGAACACAATTTAATTAAATTTTCATTGACATGATTGCTTGCTGATACTTTGGCGCCTATATTGCTACTATGGCACTTCTCTACAGTACTTTTGGGGGTACGCCTAAAACCATCTGCTTTCTTGTCACATATTTATAAACGATGATATCTATTTCTTTTTTTTTTTTTGCATTACTAAATACTAGTGATTCCACATCCGGGAAATTAAATTTATATTTACTTATACATTTGCAAATATGTACATATGTATTTGTAGACGCATAATTTCAAATCGGAAGTGTTTTTGCACTTTTTTTTGAAAAGTGCAAACAAAAGAAGACAATAAACAATTTAATTTGTTTTTACTGATATGAGTAAGAGTTTTGGCATTCCCTCATAGAATTTTTATTACATTTTTTATCAAACGGCAGGGAGGAGTGAGGGGACAATAGAGGTTATCATCTTTGGGTCTAAATTTATTTACTGTAAAGTGAAAGAATCATATGCAATTTAAAATTGCGATATTTCTCAGGCGTGATTGTAACCAATTTGTTGAGTAGTTATTGATTTATAGGATTTCGCCAATAGTTCTATTTTGATACTGGATCCTATGATGCGCTTCTGTGTTATATAGGATGCGAAATTTAGTTTTTTAGACATATTTATTTAGTAAGTTAACGCGCTTTTAATAGATTTCAACAAAAGCGTTAAATGAGGAGTGGGCGGGGTTATCATCCGACTTCACATTATTCTCAGAGAGATGCGTTCCTTAAACCTAAACCTAAACCCCACCTCCTAAGCCATGTCCTTATTTAAAAATGTCTATCCGTTGTCCGTGCAGGGATAACTTGAGTAAGAATTGAGATATCTCGATGAAACCTGGTACACATATTCCTTGGCACCCAAGGGAGGTCGGTATTTTAAATGGGCGGAATCGGACCATTGCCACGCTCTCAAAATTCCATTAATCAAAAATTTATACAACGACATAACTAAGCAGTAAATTAAGATATATATCTGTAATTTAGTACAGAAAAAGAAGGGGTTGAAAAACATAATACCTGTAAAATCTATTTTTTGGAATAAGACGAAGTATTCTGGCATAAACAAATACTCTCATTTACAACGTTACAAAAATTAAAAGTTACATAAAATGTATATCGGTAGAGCTGACCAATTTTTCAACAAGAGACTTCATATCCGTTGGCTATCTTTTGAGTCAAAAAGTATCCTATATAAAAGATTGAAAAATTATTTTGGTGTACAATTTTAGGTTTTCAGGTATGACATTTCGATTTGAACAAATTTTACGGACAACACAATCCGCTGGGGTCTTTATATTGAATATGAATATCTCTATTCTTCCGGATGACTTTATATCGTATCATAATATTGTTTCGTGTGAAAAGTGGATGAAATAGGTCCTCAAGTTATTTTGGATAACACAGACTGGTTATTTGTGGGATACCTCAGTAATATTATGGTATTTATGTAGAACTGAAAAAAAAACAAAATCGAAATAATTAGATACAACTAACCTACTCTGACTTGGTACTAAATTTACATTATCGAATATCGAGTTTATCGAATAAATTGCTTTTTGTTCTATTTAGTTTCTCTATGTGGTAGATATCGGTGGGTAAACAGACATTTTGCTAAACTGTGATTTGCTTATTATATTACATATCCATATATATTGGTAGTTATGTAAGATATCTTAATAAAATATTTTGAGAATATGTTGCCTAATATACTTGAATGGTGGTGTGGAAATAAGGATACAAGTTAAATATTATTATAATTTGTCCCTAATTCCCATATACCAATTATATTGATATCGGCCAAACAACTTGACTTTTTAATAATTCTTATATTAAGAAGATATTTTAACGAAGTATAGATTATTTCGATTTAACATGTTATAAGTCAAACATTTATGAAAATACCGAAATAACACTTAGTACAAATAGTACCTCTAATCTGTGGCAACTAACAGCCTGTTCGGAGCATACACCGATTGTGAGAGGCTTTTTGCCTACGACTGATTCCAAATACCAATCAATTATTAAGATACCTAATTGAAGTTAAGCGGAGATCTTTCAACTAACAAAAATCCAGACTCAATTTAAAAATAAAACTAAATAGCTTAGATAGATAAAGGGGGAGGATATGCACCGCGACCCTAGGTATATTATGCCCACTGATACTTTGTCATTATTTCATTTTATCCTAAAGCCGTTAGAAAACCGAACATTCGTGAAGGATTGATACTGGGAAGAAGGGCTCTAGTCCCATCGGGGAAACCGAGGCGGCTTCTTTCACAACTTTTTCTGCTATATCGTTTCCTGAGCGTTCCGGAACCCAAAATAGCCAAACTTAATTTCGTTCACCTACTGAATTTAGTTTCTATGTGCGATTTGATCGTACATAATGGCATCGGTATCACTATTATACATTGATTATTAGTCACTCTCTTGAGTATGACTTCTGTCCTTCCACCATATCTACTCAATAGCTTAGCATAATTTGGTACCACAAACAATCGGTTTACCATTTCGCCTAGTTTAGAATGAAGGCATTAACAAATATTGTTTATAATACTTTATCGACCAATTTACTTGTAAACCACATCGTTTGTAAATTTTATTCTAAATTATATTATAAGGCATAAAGTTAAAGCTTACAAGCCCGTGGATAGTAAATAGAACTGTTGTTAGATTACGGAAGTGTTAATTTGACGTTAAGCGAAGCTTGTTTTGCATAAGAAATTATATTTGCGTTATTTATTATTTAGTAATAGCGAAATGATTGAATAATAACTTCCTGTGCTTACGTAAAACATAAAACATATTTACTAATGAGAATTATTGTTTGCTAAGTATTCAAGAAAATTTTAAAATATGAAGTGTAATGCTGGACGAATAGAGGAATAGAGTTGCCGCTTAAAGTACAACTTACTTTAAGGGATACATCTCTTTCTGGATGTATTTTATGCATTTTTAAAGCCTGTGATACTTTGGAAGAGAGTTGCTAACTTTGAAAGAACTGAAAATTTAAAAATATGTTCAAATATATGAGGTTTAATAAAACAAGTGTTCGGAAAGTCTTCAATTAGGAAAACCTTGAAATCAATCACCAGTTGAAAAAATAAAAACTGAACCAAATATTTGAAAATTTGTCCAAACATAGTGAACATAAATCAAAGTTAAATATAAGGTATTAGTATTTGGAGAAGCTGTAATTTAAAAAAATATTTTCGAGCAGAGGTGACTCCTAACCAAATGTAAACATATTACAAACTGGGTTCAGTCAAAAGACATTTAAAAAGCAATTTAAGATTTTTTACAGAGCTGCCAGCTATCGAGAAAAGTTATCTTGTGAAAAATATCACAAAACACGTTCGAAACCACATTTATCGAATTTAATAAAGCTTTTGCAAAAGATATTCGGGCAGTCTACAGTCTGCTACATAACTCAATTAGGAAAGAAGAACTGTTATACTATACTACAGTATGTTCTAATAATAATACACCAATTATAAGTGTATAAATAATATATTTTTATTTTTAGATTAAATGGGTATTTTACATTCCCAATAAAGAAGTCAATATAGCTTCAATTGTACACTAAAATATTAAGAGATAATATATATAATACTATTGATATTGCTATAAATAAGTGAACTTAATACAATCAGGTGCATATGCTTTTAAAACTAAATATTGTCCAACAACGAAATATAAATTTTAACAATCAAAAAATATTTTATAATAAAAAAACTATTAAAATATACTTCAGTCTATCATCTCAAAGTGCCAAGCGAAAAAATGCAGCGGGGAAATAAGATAGCCACGAGCAGGAGCCATCATTGGCATCGTTGATTCTCATTAGGGTGTAATAAATAATTTAGCTGCAAACTTTCCGCTATATTTACGGCAATGCTCTCTCTTTCTCTTAGCATCTTCCACTAATTCCCTCCTCAACCGAATAAATTTGGCACAAATAACTTCTTTCGCTTGCCATTCGTACGCTTGTTTTTAGCAGCACTCGGCGTTACTCCATCACTGTTAGACGACACGGTATCCACACGTCTATTTGCGTACAGGAGGGACTCGGGTATGGCTGTTATATAACCGTCCTCAACGTAGTAGTAGCCACGACGCAAGCGACTCAGATGATAGTCGGTAATCGGTTGTTGATAGGGTACTATATAGTCGTGCTCTATCGTATCCAGATAGCCGTCCAAGTAAGTTACAGTGGCCTTGCCATCCGCAACGGTAATGTAATTGCTGGCACAAATGAGCAGAAAAGTGAGGCAAGCTCGCGCGTATAATATCTGAAATGGTGAAAATATGGTATTAGCTTTCTGTGAATTCAGCATATATGGATATATTAATAGATATATTTCTTCTTTTATTTATTTCTAGTGAAATAAATATTCAGATTCTTAAATTTTAATCACTTGATGCGCATACTTTTTTTCAAACAATTATTTTATACCGTAATCCATGCAGCTTTTATTATATTTATAAAAATATTCAGATCGATTGATTTAAATCAACAGATTTTAATACTTTTTTCAATAAAAGTACATACTATATTTTTATGAAACCATTTTTATATTGTCAAATTTAGCGAATGAAACTTTTTTGAGTTATAGAATATAATTTTCAAATCCTTGTTTTCTATTATTCAAAATCAAAACAATATTTTTGTGATTTTATAGAAACATAACACTCAAATATTTGATTTCTAAAAACTTTGTATCATTTAATCCAACTTTCAACTCACTTTAAAATTCATGATCAAAATGTAATTATATTCTGAAAGCAGCGTTCTTTAAACACAAGGATTTCACTGATAGATTTCGGAACTTCAAATCACAAGTTAGTTAGAATAATTTCGCGATTTCGCAGAGTTCTAAAATTGTTTTTATTTCACCGAGTTTGATGTGCTTTGATAACCAAATGCGTTCTGATTAATAGTCCACCAACGCATATTTTTCTTTATATACCCACTAGCATAGCAGTACACCCGAGTTAAATACTCATAAACAAACGAAAGCAAAAGCCAATCACCGCTATACTATGTGTATGTTTGTATTAATGTGTGTACAAGTATATAAGTTCCATTAAGTAAGCGCTTTTATTCGCGTATTGCTGTGAAGTGTTAGCAATTCCTTTTTTCCTACAATTATTTGCGTTGTTGCTGCAGCTGCTCAAATGCCGTATTTATTCTAAATGAGAGCAAAATATGTGAACGCCCGCCACCCAACATGTCCGCAAGCAGGTACACCTCAAGTGATGTACATTAATGGGCATACACATGTTTGTATATACATATATCTGTATATGTGTGTGCTACAATTCGTATTGAAATCTAACATTTGTTTTCGCCAATTTCAAAAGAGAGGTTAAAAATGTGCATTACACTCATAACAGCTATTTGTTGTTTACGATAATTGTGATTATTATTAAAAATTTTTTTTATTGTAATAAGCAATTAATATACGCAAATTGCTGGCGAAAATATAAATAAATATAAATATTCATAGTTAAATTCGGTTGAAGCGCAGATTACTCAAGCCGGCAACGACCTTGCGAGTCAGCACTTGAGTAAATACATAATATTAGTCTGACGGCATGTTTATTCAAAAAATTTTATGTTAGCTAATGTTTTCTGGCTCTGATTGTTTGTCAACGGAAAATTTGTCAACCAGCGAGTTGTTGTTTTTACTTTCGTTACTCTAATTTAATTAGTGCCTCAACGCGTCGTCAGAGCTACTAATTAATATGGAAAAGTTCCTTTGCGCTTTGTTTTTGTTTCGATTAGGAAATTCGCTAAACAAATAAAAGTATAGCAACTTTAAGAGTTATGAAAAAGCCGTTCCTTTGACAAAAATTCCATTTAAATTATTATTTTTGTGAAAATGTTCTATTGAGAACACCAATGGGTGCTGTTCATAAAATGGGAATTGGGCTAAAAAATTAGATTATGAGTTTTTGAAAACTTCTACTTAGTAACAAATGGCATAATATGAGTTAGTTGGATTCAAAACTAGGCCACCCCTAGGCTCAGTTTGCTCCTAACTGAGTCTCCATTAAGCACAAAGCTACAAATCGGCGATGAAATTTCTTAAATTTCAATTGCCCGCCTCAACCGACTAAAGGCTAGGTATTCACAAAGCTAAAATGCGTGACCTAACGTATCAGTAAACCTAACGTATCGGTAAATTTCCGCACATGCTCTGCATTAAGACGGTTCCCAATTTTTGTACTCTTGCTACATGTTGCTGCAGAGTATAATAGTTTTGTTCGCCTCACGGTAATTTTTATTACCTAAAACTAGTCGAGATAGATATAGGTATATCCATATATATAAATGATCAGGATGACGAGACGAGTTGAAATCCGAGTGACTGTCCGACCGAGAGACTTGGTACACATCATCTTTAGCACCATAAGGAGGTTGGTATTGTAGATGGGAGTAGTCGGACCACGCCCAAAAACGCCCTACCGACAGTGTGAAAGTGGATGAAATCGGATTACAACCCCTCCCTCTCCCCTATACGGGTTTGGAAAAAACTACTAAATGCGCGATAAATCAATAACTTAATGCGCCAGGGACATTAAATTTTACACACAAGACGATAAAAGAGGGCTTTATTCGAGCCGGGGTCAAAATTGGAAGATGGAAATGGCACCGCTTACATTTAGGTGAAATTACATATCTCCGAATCTACTAGACAAGTTTGTAACAACAAGAAGGAAACACCGGAGACCCTATTATAGACATATATGATCAGCATGATGAGCTGAGTTGATTTAACCATGTCCGTCTGTCTGTCCGTCTGTATGTCTGTATATATACGAACTAGTCCCTCAGTTTTAAGCAATCGATCTAAAATTTTGCAACCGTCCTTTTCTCCCTAAAAAGCTGCTAATTTGTCGGAACGGACCACTATAGCATATAGCTGTCATACAAACTGAATAATCGGAATCAAGTTCTTGGATGGGAAACTTATTTATTTGACGTAATATCTTCACGCAATTTGGCATGGATTATTTTCTAAGCCAACAATGTAATCTTTGAAAAAATTGTTAAAATCAGATCTCTATAGCACATATTTGGAGGATCTCCAAAGAAAGGTGTCTGGCGGTGAGTAAGATTTTTCTGCTTAGAATTATCTGCAATCCAGAAACCTAAGAAAATATTATTATTATAGATAAATACAGGTAATGAACGAAGGACTAGTCTAACTTTTTGACAATATAGCGGCTTCCCAAAAAGAAGTCGTTTTTGGAGAAAATTTCCCGACCGACTTTGAAAATACCGTTAGGCTGAAAAGTATAACCAAATCATTGCAGTTTGTATCAGGGTTGCAAGTAATGCATTAAAAATTCAAAATCTCTAAAATTTCCGTCCAAAATATGGGATTAAAAATAAAAACAAAACCTGTTTAATCCCAAGAACCGCACAGGATCATCATCTATTCTAGAGTACTGGTCGAAAAACATGTTCATTTAAATTATTATATGGTCCGACTTCGCTCATATCCTTTTCAAAAATGCAGCATATTAGTGATAATACGAAGAGCTAATTCTGTTAACATATCTTACACCTTGATCGATACATAATATATGATAGACAGTCAACCGAAAGCTGGAAAATCAACATATTAAGTATATGGAGGCTAAGGGAAGTACTGAACCGATTTTATTCAATTTTAGCAGCAAGCCACATTGTAGGAAGGAAAATACCACTTCACCATAAAGTGCAAGAACTTGATGGAGCCCATTTTCAAGCTGTAACATAAGGATGTTAAGGGAATCTTACTTACAAAATTTGGATGGAACTGGTCCAGTAGTTGCTAAGATATGAGATTTCGTAAGCAAATAAGGTAAAAGTTACAATATCAACCTATATCTATCTTGATGAATTTTATGTTTTAACGCACGACCTTAAGGAAAACTCTGTGCTACATGGGGCTTACGGAAATCCCTTAATATTTATTTTTAATTTATTATTGGTGAATATATATAATATTGTATATATGTGTAATATGTTGTTGTAGCAAAATAAAATATTCCTTTGATGTGTCAACAGTTTTTGATTGGTTTCCGCTCGCTTTGGTAATCTGTAAATATTATATTTATCTCGCTGCAACAAGTTCGCTGCTTAAGTCTTTTGTTTGTTCGAATCAAAATTGGTTTAACTCGCTTGAACCACCTTAAAAAAAAAACAAAAACGTGACTTTTAGTAAAAGCTTTTGGATTGCAAAATGCCATGCATCCACCCCCTTTTTCTCTTTGTTCGCAACACATTCCAACGGTGCTGATGAACTGTACAAAACAGTGAAAAGTAAGCGCGCTTAGCGTGAAAGTGTTAAACTGCTGTGAAAACAATAACAATTCGGTGCAGTAAGCAAACAACCCAAAAATGCAAACTCAAGAAATAAAAACCTTTAGGGGAAAATTTTTTATAGAGTTACTCTCTCTAGTAGAAGAGAAAATGGTAAGAGTTAAATAAATATTTCGCCAAAAAGTAATCAATTGCATAGTAAAAATATTGGCGAAATTTAATGAGTAATATATCTGCAGAAATCATATCAATTTGTTTACTTACTTTGTTTGAATTATTAATTTTCGCTTATAGTTGTTATTAATAAGTACTCATTCATGCCGGTGAGGCGTGAAAAATGTTATTTCAACAACTTACATATACACCTTTACACACATAACTAAATGCTTCCAGAGCAATATATTGTCTGCACATCCCAGCAGTATTTCACAACAGGAAACAAACACATCTTTCATAAAGAGTATTCACTAGAGATGTGGTTAATTTCTTTTCATAAATTTATAGATGTCCAAATTTTGTTCTTTCTTATTCAACCTCACTGGAGACTCGATGATTAGCTAACCTACATATTGCCAAATTGTGGCTAAGGTCTTTCATATAATAGATTAGGGCAAACCTTAGTTTTGTGTTGTTTAATAAGTCATTTAAAAGCATTTTTTTGAATTGAGCACCATTTATCATCTGATATAATTTAACCCGACAAAAAAACAATTTTTACGTATTTAAATAAAAATTTTTATTATCGTTCTCAAATAAGCTATTTTTCTGCCAATACAAGCATGCCATCGCTTGATCCACCTTTGGCGAACGATATTCATTGGATTCACTGGATTCATGTTGTGTTCTCTGAAGCGCATTTTTTTGTTTCGGAAACACTAAAAAGTCTCAGGGAGCCAAATTCATCGAATACGGGGCGCTGACTCGTTTCGTGTTTAGCCAAAAAGTCAGCCACGATAATGCAAAACTGTAACTGGGAATTATTCATGAGTTTTCTGCCCACAAATCCTGTCGTTTACTTAGACGATCTTCACGCCTAAAAGAAAACGATGATCCTCAATTTTTCTCACTTCAATTTTTGTTTTTCGGTTCCGACTCCCTTTTTGGAGCGCCATTCACTATATTGTTGGACAGTTTCCATCTCATATTCATAAACCCACTACTCGTCATCAGTAATGATGCGTTTAATGAAAATAGGGTCTTCGGTAACGTTGTCAAGCATTTTGCGACCTCTGCTGGACGTCGTTTTTTTCAAAGGATTCAGTTCTTTTGATACGAGTCTTAGCCAATATAAACAAAAATGTGTTGAGCCTTGCCTTAGATAAACGGTAACAGAATATATCTCCTTTTGAGTAAAATCTGGAATTCAAAAATTAAATTAATCAAATTATATTAAATTGAAAAGTACAAAGGATTGAAATCCAGTGAGATCCAATATTCTGTAAACAAATATAAAAAGAAGTATACTGTTTACTTTGTCGAGGCACTCCAAAATATTCTATTCAGAAAGAAACCCAATGTGACAGCAGTGCATATTCTCAGTTAGAACCGTTTTGAAAATGTGCCTTAAAAATTGAAAGTAGTTCATATTCGATACTTTGTGTTTTCAATAATTATTCAATTTTCCCAACA